TAACAATTATTATTTATTTATTTTATTTGAATCTGACACATAGCTTCTATTATGGTATCAGACTCAAAAACTTTTATTTTTAAGAGTTTACAGCTCTATACTCTGCTCTGGGATCAGTTTGCATGTTGTTCATATGGAAAACAAAGATCATTTCAGATCAGTTTATGAGAGGAACGGTCAGAGATCAGTAGGTCATTTGTTTTCTTAATAGATGTGGAATAGAAGCTCCTGATTCAAAAATCAAAGGAATTATATGTTTGCTTCTCCAGTTGATACAAAGTAGCATTCTTTGATTTTCAAATTTAGGCCAAATTGCGTTATAAAATATTTAACCTCGGAATAAGTGCGTAAGCCGTGGGATCTGCGGAACAGACGCGTCAGATATATGGGCATTCCAGGTATCCATAAAAGGGGAATATTCAAATGAGAGAACATTAGAATATTAAATCTTGATTTATTTATGCGAGTGCCATTAGGGGTTATCATCTGGATCAGCAAACAATTTTTCAGGGGTTGAGATTTTTATGTAGTAGCAGACACATTTAGCACCGCGCCACCGAAAACATCCCCACTGTGACATCCTGCTGTTCATTGGCCGATTTCTGCCCATAAAAATGGCAGCCGATATTATAATGCAAATCCCTTATGGGAAAATACCTGCGCGATGGCTGCATATAAATGATGTGGCATTGTACCTCTCTCGCTCTCTCTCACCTTATTACCGAATTACGGAGAGAGCGGGGAGAGAGGGGCGAGGGGGAAAGGTGATGATGGATTCTTTGTGGATGACACGGGAAAGCATTATGAAGCCCCCGTTTGTCAGGCCAACATTAAGGGCTAATTTTGAAAATCTAGCGTGCAGTCAATTTCCTCCGGCCCGAGGGTGAAAGGTAGCTCACTGACAGGAGGGCTAATTTCACCCTCCTTATTTACCTCTATGCATCATTTCTGAGCGCCTCGCTGACACCCGACGCCCGCTTTAAAAATGACACAAGTGCCACCAAACGCCCGGATATTAACCACCACGTGCATGTGTGTGTGAGAGAGCGGCACGGAGAAGAAAAAGGTAAACCTGGCAAATCTATCATTTTAATAACAGCAAGCAAGGTTAATGTAGTTTACCTTACACAGGGGGTGTATAAAGGGCCGTAATCTACGCCTCTGTGTGTGTGTGATTTTAAACAGACACACATGGCTGCTCTGATGGCTGTTTGTTGTGTAGCACGCAGCAGAAAAATCAAAGTCTTAATGCTATTGTGTGCCGGTAACCATCTGTCAAAGCCACACGGAGATGAGAGCGAGATTACCCAGAATAAACAGGAATGCCGGAGCGTCGGTGAGACCCTCGGGCGAAAAGACAAGACGAAGAAGCAAAGAGGGAAGGAAACGCTTCACGAAGGGACATCAAAGCCATTGTGATTCAGGAGCCGTCTGACGGCGGCGTTTGTAACAATGGCAATCTAACACAGAGACACCATGATGACCCTGATGATGATGATGAAGGTCTTCCGACAGTATTTCATCGCTGGAAACTTGTCTCTTTTATATGTCAGAGGAATATTTAGCGGATCCAGGGGTGGTTCCTGAGGTGGCGAATCTGTGTAAATTTACCGTGAAGTCTCTGGAAGTGCTATTGGAGTGGGAGATTTTCCCTTTAAACCCTCATTCGGAGCCTCACAGGAGAGAATGCAAACCAACAAACTGCAGCTGCCACAAAAACACTTGGAAACGATCTATTCTGCTCTCAAACAACTGCAGAAACTCCTCTCAGATGTTCTTCTCTGATTAAGCTGTTTTCTGTGCTTCTGCTAGTTTAGCAAAGAGGTCATTTAAACACTTTAATGAGATGAATGAAATCACGAGAGCTGTTACAAACCTGGTGTTTAGCATCATCCCGGGCCAAAGTCCCTGATCAAACCTCGAACTAAGAGACAAAACGTTTGTGCATTTGAGTGTGTGAGGACAAAGAGTGTGTTTGTTTGATCAAGTTGAATAAGGTTCAAATGTGTCTTTTGCTCTGATAGCGCTGCATTCGTCTCTCATCGTGTGTGCGGTCATGTGATTTGGATGAGGCGTGGCTTCGGAGAGTGATTTGTAGGGAGGGTGGGATCTTATGCTTTCAAAGCTAGCTTGCTATTGCTAGCCTCTCTGAAATCACCTACCTTACCTTTAACGTTAAGAAGTATCAATAAAAACACTGTGTGCTGTGTATTATTTAGCTAGAAACCTGCTTTACACAGAAACTAAAATGCAAACGCAAATGCGTGGCCAGTGCATTACACGTGTGCAGACAGTTGCACAAAGTCAATTTCTGTTTTCGTGGCGGATACTCAAGGGCATGATAGAGTTTCCATCAGTGAAATGGAAATATGTTTGGTTATTATTCAGGTAGTTGGATACAAACATGTCATTTCAACTCGCATTGTCCTTGCGTTGCATTTTGACTTATGTGGAAAGCACACAATCAAGATTGTGACGTTAGAAGTATTTGTGGTTGCGTTCCCGTGAGTATGTTTTGATCTTTAGAGTACGGTTTCATTAGCTTATTTGGCCATAAATGCAAATGCAAACACAAATGCATGGCCATAGTATTCCACGATTTAAACATGTCAGTGTATTTGCTTTGCATTATGAGTAGATCAAGCTTGCATTGCTAGAAATATTTGCATTTTTGTACTTGCGTAGAGTATGTTTTGGACATTAGAGTACTGTATCTTTAGCTTAGCAGCATGCAAATGTCAAACTCTAATGCTCTTTTGTGAGCAGAATGCTATTTCTATGATGCACTTCTGAGTTTCCATTTAAGTTAAGATGTTGCTGCCTATCTAGCCTATGGCAGCTCATAGTTTCGGAGCAGATGTATTTGAGAGTATATTCACGAGCAGTGATGTCAGTATGTGAGGGCCTGACTCCTGTCAGACTGCCACACGCTGAAAGCACTTCCCGTCCCCGCTCTCTCAGGTCATGTTTCAACTAAATAACTATCAGTCAAACTCTTGCCCTCTCTGCTCCTGCTCTCCAAGAACAACACCTCCTCAACACCTCTCCTCCTCCGATCTGTCCATCACATTTCCTTCGCAAAATCAGCTACATACATCCAGGAACCGGATCATTAGTGTGCGAGAATTAAAGGCTGTCTATGGACGAGAGTAGGTTCAAAATAACTTAGGTTCTATAGCATTTGCGGCATCAATTTTTGAATGAATTAATGAATAAATAAATAAATAAATCATTTAATTAATTATTAATTAATTAATTAGCAACAAAAATACTACGAATACTACTGTACAATACTACTGCTACTGCTACTACTACTACTAATAATAATAATAACTATGATTATTATTATTATTCTTTTTTTTTTTTATGTTTCCCTCAGTTAAAAAAAAAAAATACAGTTATGCAGCTACAATGGAAGTGAATGGGCCTGACAATAAACATTAAAATGTAATGCATCAATGTAAATGTAAAAATCCACTTACTAACCTAGTCTGTTTAACGTTAAATATCTACTATTTCACCTTTCAAAAACATCAAAGAGGAACTGTTTATGTGGTGTAAACTTCACAGGCATTAATTACATCAGTAACACATAAGCAAAAGTTCATCCTAGAAAAGTAGTCGGACAGTTTAGACACTTTGCAGCTCAAATAATTAACAGCTTTCGCAAAAAATACAAGCCTCACATTTAAACCTCTGGAACACTGACCTGTAGACACCTTTTGTGTAACTGTAAATGCTATTTTTATTTGTTTTCACAAACGGAGGTACGTGTTAAAATGATTTTCTGTAGTAATCAACATTGTTTGTTGTATTGAACTCTGATCGCTCTTCTACAGAGCGTGTTTTAGGCTGCATCTCAGACTGACACAGTGATACGGAGGTCAGTTACTGTACAGCTGCTTATTAAATTCATTTTATATGATGTTCTATTGTAAATAATGGTTGAATTTGGAAACACACCTCTTGGGTACAGCATAAAGCAGAATATTTACTCCTGCAAATGAAAGGACCCATTTTAAATGCGTTTTAATGAGTTTGTAGCTTTGCACGCTCGCCAGGCCATAATTACTGCATTATTTGTCAGCAGCTTCACGCCGCAACTGACACGTCATTCTCACGGAGGGAGGGTGTCCGGTGAAAAACCGCAGGACTCTGAGACAGTCGTGTAAAGGAGAAGAGGTGAAGTCTGTGTGTGTGTGTGTGTGTGAAGTCAAATCTGCATCTCCATGAACACGGCTCTTACATTAATTAACCTCCCTTTTCCTGGTTGAGGAAAAAAAATCTGTTATCATATATTCACATGGCTGTACACCAATTAATTGCAAAGAAAAAAGAAGGCAGTTTACCGTCATCCCAGCGGTCGCCCTGTCTGCCTGCGCAGGAGATCCATTATTCCAGGGAAGGAGAGGAGACGTGGAAAAAAAGGGAGCGAAAGAAAAAAGTCTAATGTGTATGATGAGTAAAATGAGGATCGGTGCTGAATCAGGGGAGGGGGACGCGGGGAATAAAAGCCTCGGAAATGAAAATAAATAATCTTGGCTAATACCTCACCTTAGGAGAGCAGGCGGGGCCCCAGCCAATCAGAGCACTTCGGAAACACCTTCAAACACACACACACACACACACACTCTTTGACCTTCAGTGCAGAGGCTTACAGAAGAAGGCCGCGATCTACACACACACCCGCATGGCCCTCAGGAGACGGGCGCAGCGAGAGAGGAGATGTTCCTTACTGAGAAACAACATCAGAGCATCAGGGACCGACAGAGGACTCGCTCATCTCTGGATGTCACGGAGAGCTGAGCAAAGACCACACACACACACACACACACACACACACGCATATCTGCAGCTAAACATACAATCCAGTGTATGTGCTGGTCCTTTGCAATGGGTCTTACTGTCCAGTGCGCTTCTGTACCATCCTGTGTAATGTTCCTGTAAAGCCCAGTGCAGTGTTTGCTGTCCATTCCAGTACAGATTGTTTCTGTAAAGGTCACCACGCAGTTCAAAGTGTCTCCATAACGTCCAGTGCAGTGCATTTCAGTATTTCTGTGACGTTGTTTTCATACAGTTTTGTAATGCATGTAAAAAATCCATTAAAATGCTTTGTACGGTGCAGTGTTTCTGTAAAATCCAGTGTTTTTGTGAGGTCTAGTGGGTTTCTTTACTGCTCAGTTCAGAGTGTTTTCGTAAAGTCCAGTGCAGTGCATGTCAGTACTTCTGAAGTGTTTTTTTTTTTTTTGGCAATAGTAAAATGTTTTTGTACAGTGCAGTGTGTTTCTGTAAATGTCAATGCAGTGGGTTTGGTTGCACTTTATTTTACAGTAAGTGTACTTACGTTTACTTGCAATGTACTTACCTGAGAAAGTAGTTTAAAATAAGGTAACTACATGGGTTGAGGTTAGGTTTAGGGGCAGGTTCAGTGTTAGTGCCTAGTTATTACCCATCTATTGTAATTATTATAATAAATACATAGTACATGCACATGTGGAACAGGACTGTAAAATAAAGTGCAACCGTGGTTTTCTTTCCAACACAGTTTAAAGTGTTTTTATAAAGTCCAGTGCAGTGCATTTCAGTATTTCTGTGAAGTTGTTTTTGTTCAGTTGTGTAGTGTCTAAAAAGTCCAGTCAAATGTTTTGTACAGGCCAGTGTGTTTTTACGCAATCTAGTGCAATATGTTGCTGTAAAGCTCAGTGCGGTGTTTGCTGTTCATTCCAGTGAAGACTGTTCCCATATAGTCCAGTGCACGACGTTGCAGTGATTCTGTGAAGATTGTTTTGTACAGTTTAGCAGTGTGTTTATTATAAAGTCCAGAGTGCTTTTCTACAGCCCACTGCAGTGTGTTTCGGTAAAATCTCCAGTAAAGCATTTCTGGTCAAGCCCAGTGCATTTCTCTGAAATCCCATGCAGTGTGTTTCTGTAAACTCTCATTCTGTAAAATTCTCATACACATCAGTGTTTCAGTGCAGTGTGTTTCTGTGAGTGGCCGGATCAGTGTGTTTTTGTCTCTTTAACTCCTGTTTGTAATTTGACTCTTTGACCTTCTGGTTCAGATCAAAGCTCAGTCGTCTCTCCAGCTGCCCTCGTCTCAATCCAAGCAACATGCACACTGTTCCAGATTCACCGTGTCGCCTGACCTTCCTCAGCGAGAGATGACTTGCTTCTTCCGATTAAAATTCAACAAATCACTCCAAAGAAATAGTCTTTCCCCTTTAGTTATCTCCGTTTTCCCAGATTCATTTTTCATGATCTGAGGACGCCTCTCAACCACCGCATGAGTATTGATGGATCAGTTATTAAAATGTTTATCAATAATTATTCAGTGAAGAGAGTTTAAGGTACAGAAGTGATTGGATTTGTAAAACCCCTTTACAAAGAGTTCATAGATGGGTAAACCTTCTTCAAACACACAAACCACGTCATATTTGCCATGCGGTTCTTCTTAATTCTCTACCAGGAGCTTTACAGATTTAAGCACTGCATTTTCATTCATGTCTAATTCTCCTGTTGCAGAGTTGAGGGGAACAGATGCCTCTGATGAAACGATCCAAAATTAAATGTTATAATATGTCAGATAGGCTAATTTTGTCATGCACATTCAATGTGTTACCAGTTTCCTGAGGTGTGGGCTTAGCTTTCTAAGGACTGTAAAAACTATCTGAGGGTTTTTCCTCTTTCATCTGTTTGGTTAATTCTTGATGAAGATAGACGTGTCCCCTGATCATGCTATATTTCGGTCTTACTGTTTTTATGAGAACAAATATGATGAAATTGTCAATGATATTGAAGTAATACTCTACTGTAGTACACTTTTACCTCACAGGAACTTTTAGCTGTGAAGTCTGTTGGTGAATTTTGTTTATTCTCTCTATAATGAATAAAAACTCTGCAACTATCTGTGGAATAATCACAGGCTGCTGTAACTCATCTGTAATAACCAGTGCTCTGTGTGTGTGTGTGTGTGTGTGTGTTTAACGAGCTACAGGAGGGACTAAAATAAGAGATTTGCTCAATTAAGCAATAGTGAGTGAGCTGAGAGACACCTGTGCGTACAGGAAGCTGTTTCTCTGTGTGTGTGTGTGTGTGTGTGCTAAAATCACGGCTGATTACCTTCACGAGTGCCGTCTCTTCCCCTACCTGTGCTGCTCGCTGACACACTCTCACAAACAGCTCATTAACTCATCACTGTCTGGGAAATAACATGCGCGTGTTTACAGACTGTGTGACCGCTCTAATGTGGGGAGAAAAACACAGACCAGGCTTTGTCAGGACATCAGGTGGGAGAGACAGCCTTAAACAGACAGGAAATGAGTTCTGCGTTAGAGGAAGTCGAGAGTGCTGCAGCATCAGAAAGAACCTTTTTAATGAAGGAATGTTATTTGTCCCACTATAGAACCATGATGATAAATCCCAGTGGGGCAGTAAATAGCGTTTTTAGGGGATTTTTGTAATTTTAGGTAGCATTTTACCCCTGAGGTCTGGTTACTGAGCAAGGTGGGTTGTGGCCCATGTGTCACAGTCTTCACATTTATACATTTGGCAGATAATTTTAAAGTAGGGTTGGGTAAAAAATACAGTTTTTTCTATTTTAATTGATTCTCATTTTTACGAAACAATATCAATTATTAAATCCCAAGAATCGATTAGTCTAGCCTGTTTTCAGTTAATGAACGGAACACTGTAGCACGCCTCCCATCCAGTAAATTGCTGTAAACAGTGTTGCCAACTTAGCATTTATTAGCTATATTTAACAACTTTTCAGACTGCCCTAGCAAGGTTTTTTTTTTTTTGGCAACTTTTAGCAACTGTGACTCAAATGATGAAAAGGCACACATCTGTCCTCTAAATTACACAAAAAGAGGAAATCAAAGGTGTCTAGCAGTACACATCACATGAATTAAGTTGGTAGTTGCAATTGCTCAAGTAAAATTGTTCATTTACGTTATTAGTTTGTACCTGCACTTGTTGATCAGTTAAAACATATGTAGAAAAATGGAAAAGGTACTCGTAATTTTCTACCAGGACATTGTCCGTTAAGTTGTTACCTGAAAACACAAAATACAATGCGTAATTTTAAATTCAGGCAAAAAAACGTGTTACAAATCAATACAGAAAATTCCTATAAGTTAACACAGTACATTGTGCCCTATTTTATTTTTGTGCCCTAAAACTTTTCTTAAAGTGTTAGCATACTACCAATACACTGCTTAAAATATAATTGTTCCGAATGTGTAGTTTTGCTAGTTAATAAGAAAATACATAAAATGTAATTTTATCAAAAAATGTGTAAATGTTCAATAATTCAATGTTGTATTTAAAAATTAAATATATGATATTATTTATATTGTATTATTATATTTATGTTTTACTAACAAACCTAAATTAACATTTCAAACCATATTCATAATCATATTTTTTATTTGGTTTTTTTGCTGAGATTTACATTGATGAGTGATACATTTTGTGCTATATGCAGTTTTTAATTTTGATTACGTAATGTTGACATCGCGCAATGACTTTTTAGCTACTTTTAGCAACAAATTGTCCTGCCTTTAGCAACTTTCCCTGAAAATTAGTTGGCAAAACTAGTAAAGCTTTTTGCTTTGTTACGTTTTATATGAAGCAATGTCTCAGATTCAAATTCTGACTATTTTATTAGGCCTAAACAATAAATACCGTTTTGGGGCTGTTTCATGTGGAGTGACATATCTCAGTTCAAGACAAGCGGTAACGCGCAGTGCGAGTGAACTGATCATCTCCTGCAGTTTCAGCACGAAATAAACATGAATGAACATCCGAAGGTATGCTAAAAGAAAGAGTACAACTTACCAAAATCCGTATCCTGTCTCATGTAATCGCTCAATCAGTGTTTCAACCATAGAAAGATGTCAATGTATCAGCTTGTAAACAATATCTCACGTAACGCCACATTTACCTCAGAAAAAAACATATTCGGTGACCATAAACTCCTTAGTCAGCTAGAAAAATGAACTCTAGAGAGGAGCATGTTGCCAAATATATGCACTATATAACATTTTCATTGTATTTTTCCATTGTTCCTTAATATTTAGTTTATGTTTGAATAAATCCGTCGAGTTTCTTATGGCAGCTACTATTTTAATGTTTATGTTTCAAAAAACGAATTGGAGTAGAAATATAATCATGTAATTGTAAAGCTAGTATTATACATTTATTGTTAAAAAAACTTAATTGAGTGTATATAATTTAAGTGTTTGTATAAATAAAATCAAACTGAATCGTGGAATTTGCGTCAAAAACGAAGCCAACCCTATTTTTAAGGATCTTATTGCATGAAAGGTACACAATTTAATTTCACATATTCCCTGGTTATTGAATGCATGACTTTGTTGTTGATAGAGCCAGCTTTGCAATCTGCAGCACAACAGCCTCAATAGCAGAGCACATTTGCATACTGAATGGGGTAAGTTGTCACGATATAACAGCAAAATTTAAGCAGTAAAACATTTAGGAAACACAAACAAACATGCAAATGTGTATGAATTTATAACATTTAAAACCCATGTGACAACTTGCACCCCCAAAATGTGACAACCTGCCCCAAGAATTATGTATTTGTCATAAAGTCACAGTTAGTTCAGTGTTTCTAACTTTATTATATAGTGATGCTTTATGTATGCAATGTATGTCAGTGTGCTTTTATCTTGTTGTGATATTTAATATTATATTGGAAGATAAAATTAACACTCTTAGTTAAATTGTAGTACAGATTCCCTGTGTGACAACTAGCCCCAGTCTCCAATACACCACAAAAGAGTGACATAATGTAACAAAAATATTTAATATTATTATGTACTACTGCAGAAAATAATGTATCACACACTTGAATGATGATTCTTGTGCACAGCCGGCAGAAAAGGAGACATGCGCTAAAGTTTGTAAACCATCGAATTTAAACTTATTAAATGGCAGAAATCCAGAAAAATGAGTAGAAAACCTCTCAATGGAGCACAAAATACAAAATAAAGGCAAACTCCAGAAGAGAGAGCTGGAACAAACATAATATAACATTGTTAAATTGTCAGTTTTTCATTGTAGAGGTTAGTGCAGCAGCCGGAGACGTGACAAAAATGAACATCCGCTCAGATCACAGTAGAAAAATGATTTTAAATGAGCTTCGTTGGGATGTTTAGATCAAAGTCTGTCTCTTATATGACTTACACCTTTAAAGATGGGGATTTTAATGTTTTCTTCAGCATATTAAGTCATACACTTTAAAAAATGCTGGGTTGTTACAACCCAACTTTGGGTCAAATATGGACTAACCCAAATTTTGGGTTAAAACAATTTAAGCCAACAGCTGGGTTAGTCCATATTTGACCTAACGTTGGGTTGTAACAACCCAGCATTTTTTAGAGTGTAGGATAGAAACATGAAGATGTTATACATACGTACTGGGAATGACCCAATACAAAAACAAACAACGTTTATTAATGTGGAATTGTGTACAGTACACTCTAAAAAATGCTGGGTTAAATACAACCCAGTGCTGGGTAAAATAGGGACAAACCCAGCAATTGGGTTGTTTTGACCCAGCGGTTGGGTTACTACCCAGAACATTTAAACATTTAACCCAACCGCTGGGTCAAAACAGCCCAATTGCTGGGTTTGTCCCTATTTTACCCAGCACTGGGTTGTATTTAACCCAGCATTTTTTAGAGTGTAGACTATATTAATTATTGTTTTATTTTATGCACCAGGACATAACATTATCAGTCTAATAGCAGGACTAAAGAACTTTTGCCATTAACCTTTCCTCCATTTCTTCTCTCTCAGCTCCTGTCACGAGCGATGAAGACTCCCGTGCCTTTGGATGTTTTTGGATTTCTACTAGAAGAAAGTTGGAGAGCCGTGCATCCTCTTAAGACCAAGTGTCTGTGTGAAGTCAGAAAACATCAATGGTGAGTTCAAGAGTTTTCAGGACTGTGAAGTCAAAATCTGTTCATAGTACGGCAGCGATGGCACGTCCAATCAAAAGACTTGAATTATATTTGTTTCGTTTCAAGGGATCGTGATGAAGGTCTTCTTCAAGACCTCATTGAAGTGTACGGATCGGGGAGAGCGCGCTTTCATGACAATGTCGTCGGCGGGACTTTTCCGTGTGAGCAGGTACGTGGAGTCTGTTTCAAATGTAGAGCGAGAGGGATCGAATGTTCTCAAAAGCAGAATTTTAGAGAAGATTGAAATAATGGCTCTCGGCTTTTAAAGGGAAGAGCTCATTTTAGGTTAATACGGTAAGCCTGTTGGACCCAATTACTGAAGGTGCTTTTCCATTGTCATCTGGTATTTCTCCTTGAGCAGATTAGCCATCAGCACAAAAAACTCACGGTATCCAGGATTTGGTGCTTTTCTCTGATCTGGCTAAAATGAAGCACTTTCCAGAGAAAAGAGGAGCAAAGCGACCCAGTGCTGTGGTCTCATTAGAGTTTGCCCACCGAAATCTGTCGTATAACACACATCGTGTAATGATTGAATCCTGGGCACTGCTGCTCACTGTTTGGCTTCTACATCAGTGCTTTTTGACTAGTTCAGTTCAATTCACATTTATTTCTATACAGCTTTTTATATAGTTTTAAAGCAGACTTACAGAAAATAAATATGACTTGTGTATATACACATTTATACACATTTTTGTCATTTTATATTATAGTATATATAATGCATATGCATATGTCCATATGGCAGAAATTATTGCATGTTCTGATTATAATGATCACAACATAAGGAAAATTGGGCAGACACAGATTTTATCCCCAAAGTAGCAATAATGCACTAAAATAGGTTTATTATTAGTTTCTAAATCTCTCGATGGTTTCATTTGGATCAGTCATTTTCATCCTGACTGTAAGTCAATCAGTTTTTAATGTAATCTTGGTCATATTTTCTTTAATCGTGTTTAGTTTTGATGATGATGGCTCAACCTGTCCATACCTGGATGCACAACCGTTGAAATTTAACAGCTAAAGATACTAAATTGCTTCCTCCTCACTTTTAAAAGCTGATGTGTCTGTTTATTCTATACATTATTATATGGTTTGTTGCATGCTATTATTTGCATATATCATGTTTTTCCCTGCTTGCCATGGAAGCATATGGGTAGCAACATTCATTTTGAAATGTAATGTGTAAAATGGCAATGCATTTATGTATTTAAATTTACATTTTCCCATACAATATGTGCAACATTTAGTGCAAAATGAAAACGAAAATGAAATTATATAATTTACATTTGCCATTTTCTACACTAGTTTTAATGTTTCAATCGGTGTGTAAAACAGTGAGATGTTGAGGCAGGTGAAAAGTGTTTGGTTAATGGGGGAATATTGACCTATTGTGCGTCTTGTTGCCGAGCCCCGCCTTGATATAATGATTGACAGGTTGGGGGCGTGATCGGCTCGGAATGCATTTTCAAATCCACATTGACTAGTCTACACTGATCGCAGGGTATTTAATGCGAATGCAATTGAAACGTCTTATGTGTAAGTGTCAATGTATTTAAGAAAAATAAAACATTTGGCTCAAAATGAGTTTTGAAATTGACACTGCATTTTGCTACAATTATCACGCGGTATCACGATGAAAATGCAATCTCAAGTGTCCTACCCGTAAGTCTAAATGCATTTAGGAAAAATGGCATTTAAATGATAATTTTGCTACAGTTTTTGCTTGGACATGTTACACATATCTAATCAATTTGGGTAATACAATTTCATTTCCACCACACGCTCACTACTTTGCCGATCATCTTGGTACTTTTCTGGACCTTGAACGTGGTAGTTACCTTGCTGTCTATGGGAGGGTCAGAGAGCTCTCGGATTTCATCAAAAATATCTTAAATTGTGTTCCAAAGATGAACGAAGGTCTTACGGGTTTGGAACAACATGAGGGTGAGTAATTAATGACAGAATTTTCATTTTTGGGTGAACTAACCCTCTAAAACTAGTGTAGAAAATGGCAGATGTAAATTATATAATTGAATTTTCATTTTGCACAAAATGTTGCACATATGTATGGGAAAATGTAAATTTAAATACAGAAATACATTGCCATTTTACATATTGCATTTCAAAATTAATTTTGCTACCCATATGCTTCCATAGCTGCATCCCACCAGTTATATGTAAAGCATCAGAAAATCCTTTGGGATGGAGTGATGTTTAGAGGCTCATGTTGGCCTGTTAATGTTGTAAATTTTTGAGATGTAAAGGTGTAAAAATCACATTTGTGTTTTTTTAAAAGTATCCACACCTTCCTGGCCGGTTCCTTCTGCACCTTCCACTCGTCATTCTGTCGTTCCCCTGTTCCTCAGCTCGACTATTTCTCGTTTTTCCTCTCCTCGGCGGTTCCCCCGCGCTCAGCACTCCTGCGAGTCGTCACCTAGCCCCGACCGCAAGACATTTCTCTTTGTTACCGTCTCCACTGCACTCTCCGCCCCTCCTTTCTCGACAAACTGCCTGGAGTGTGCATCGTTCATGGGTCATTACTTTTCAAAGAAATTTAAGCACGGAATGCCATTTAATTTTTCCGAATGTATTCCGTCATTAGAGATCTTAGCTGTCAGAGTGAGACCATTTTTGGTGTGATGTGTTTGTTGCCTCATTTCTTTTAATTTTACCTCCATTAGCTTAATTCTTTTTTAATATTTTCATCTAACGAACTTTACAGTTCATTTTGTTTGAGTGTGTGCTAAGCGAGTTTTATGAAGCAGG